CCCGTTGCATCTACATGATGCATGTACATCTCACAGTCTATGTCTTGTCCCCGTCTCCTATGCTCTGCTCAAACCCACTGTAACATCGACGCACATGCTATCAGGCTCGCATCACCATCTATTCTACGGCAATCTTTTGCTCATGAAAACACGCACCCACAATCGGATCGATATCGCGATCATCCCTGCATCTTACATTCATCTATAACTGCATTTATTCTATTTATGCTTGGTCTTTGTCTGTCTGAAACTACATACCTCTACTTATACCGCCTTCCCCCGACGTACGCTGTCCATCGGTATTCATGAACACGTTTTGTCCTCTTCCTGAAGAAATCGATCTTGTGACAGGGCAAGTGACCAGTCGTGTCTCCGCATATCACGTGCATCTGCGCGTGACCTCATTCCACCCATCAGCTTTCTGGAATCTTGACGTCCACCATTGGAGCCTTCAAAGTTGTTTCCAGACCTCCACTGCACTCAATAGGCGCCGACTTTAATGGATATCGTCTGGTTCGACGCGCCTCATTTCTCCCTTGGTGGCGGCTCTTTGTTCCTGCCTTCACCCCCTTGACGGCGTCCCACAAGTCTAGGCCGGCATGTCACTGGCAAGACGTCCGCGCTCCGTGGCGGCGCTTCTATCTTATCTGAAATGCTCGTTCCGATGATAAGCGTCAATCTTATATCAAGGCCTTGCATCAGAGAAGGCTCCCTACCTCCAGCCATGGGCATTCTACAGCGCCTCGAAGTTGCGCATGAACCAGGGCTCTCACACTCCCAACTGTTCTTGGCGGTAAGCTGTGGATTGTCTTGCTTTGTCCGGAACCTACTCACGCGATGCTTTGCAGAATGAGGACCTGCTTCCGGTGGAGGAGGAGAAGCGAACCTGGCAGTCGTGGAACTTTTTTGCGTTGTACGTATTCCGCCGCCCCGCAGATGTGTACTACTTAGGTGCTAACTCGATCTGTTTAGCTGGGTCGCAGACAGCTTTAACGTCAACACATGGATGATCGTGAGCTCTATGGTCCAGCTTGGACTCTCGTGGTGGCAGGCATGGATATGTGTCTGGCTGGGGTACGGGATCGTGGCACCTTTCATCGTCCTTAATGCTCGTCCTGGCGCGATTTTCCATGTGACGTTTCCTGTGGTTGCGCGCACGAGTTTTGGACTCTACGGGAGCTTATGGACGACGTTCAATCGTGCCGCCATGGCTTGGTGAGCTTACTTTGAAGCAACCCTTGCAATGACTTGTGCTGATTCGATGACAGCATCTGGTACGGCGTACAAGCAAGTATCGGGGGCAGTTGCGTGCTAGTTATGTTGAGGGCGATGTGGCCGAGTGTGAATAACATCCGTACGTCGTAGCGTTCCAATCTCTATTCTGGCTAATCACTATTCATCACTCAGCAAACCACCTTCCTGCCTCATCTGGCACGAACACACGCGATTTTCTATGCTTTTTCCTGTTCTGGCTTATTTCACTCCCCGCCATCTGGTTCCCGATACACAAAATACGACATCTGTTCACCGTCAAAGCGATTGTGGCACCTACGGCTGGAATCGTATTCTTCATCTGGTGTATCGTCAAGGCCAAAGGCGTCGGCCCGATTATCCGACAGCCTTCGACACTTCACGGGAGCGAGCTTGGATGGGCAATGGTGTCGAGCTTGATGTCCTGCATCAGCAACATGGCAACTTTGGTCACGTATGTGCCGTGCCGTCTCATGTGAATCTCTTTCGACATTGAGCTTGCCACAGGAATGCACCTGACTTCGCGTCCCGCGCCACCACTCCATCTGCCGCCCTCTGGCCGCAGCTTATCTCTGTTCCGGTCACGTTCAGTTTGGTATCCTTCATTGGAATCATCGTCTCGTCGTCGTCAGCCGTAATCTTTGGCGGCGATGCGGTTTGGTCTCCGATTGATCTGTTGGGCAAGTTTTTGGACAATAATCCTTCACATGCAACACGATTCGGGGTGTGTATCGCTCGCTGCTCTGCTCAAGTCTCCTAACACTGCACAGGTCTGGTTCATTTCCGCGTCCTTCATCATCGCTCAACTTGGGTAGGGACAGATGAATCGGAGTCGCGTTCTACCCATCTGATCTTGTTCATCAGAACAAACATCTCAGCCAATTCTGTCAGTGCCGGTTGTGATATGACTGCACTTTTCCCCCGGTTCATCAACATCCGCCGGGGAGGCTTTGTTGCTGCAATCGTCGGACTGTGTATGCTGCCATGGAACTTGCTCAAGAGCAGTAACAGTTTCACCTCGTATCTCTCCGCTTACTCAGGTGGGTGTCTGTGTGGATCCAGATTGTGGACTGCTGATCTTCTTTCAGTCTTCCTTAGCAGCATTGCGGGTGTGATGATCACGGAATACTACTTCATCCGGCGAGGACACTACCGAGTGCCAGATTTGTACAGCACACACAGGAACGGCTGGTATTGGTATACCTACGGGATCAATTTCCGGTATGCGACATCTTTGAAGCATCATTGAAAAAGCTAACACCGAGCCAGTGCTTACGCCGGGTACATTGCGGGAATCTTGATCAACGTGGTCGGATTTGCCGGTGCAACTGGACGGACGGTCCCCCTCGCTGCGACGCGTATCTACCAGATGTCCTTTTTCACCGGCTTTGGGGTCTCTGCGATTGTGTATTACAGTCTGACGCGCGTATTCCCTGTGCGCGGAATGTCGAGTGTGTTCGAGGAGATGGATGTCTCCAAAACGCTCGAGGATGCAGATGCGGATGGAAGGAGCAGCCAGAATGATGACGACAAGGAGATGTTTCGAGAGGGATGAATTGTGAATGTATGTTGTAACGAGAGACGAAAATGAGAGCAATATGATGCGATGTACCATGCTTTACACCCTCAAGTCGATCAACCTCCTTCCTCGTTCCCGTTCGATCTGTGTTTTGTTGCGCAGACCGACCCCCTTGGCACTCTTGCGACCCTTGCCCCCGATTCCGTCGCCCATCCCCAATGGTGCATGGCCAGCTTGGAGCAAACGCAACGTCGCCTTCATGACCCCTATCCGGTTGCGACTGCCCCAGACCTTGGCGCTGATGTCTTTGATGCCCGCAGCACTGAGCAGGCGGTGGATGTAAGGGTTGCATCGCAGACCGAATCCGACGGGCCGGGGCCTCAAGATCACCTGGGTTGCGCCGAACTTGGTTCTGACTTCCGTCCAGATCGTCCGATCCTCGAAACGCTCGACCCAGTCCATGTTTCGGACAGCATCAGTGATGCCCTTGCTCTGCGCAGTCTTCATGTCTTCGTGCTTGCCCAGGCCCATGCCGACCATCCCCTGGCCATCACCGACAATGAAAACAGCCACCGCACGAGCCAGTTTGCCTTTCCCCGTCTGTTTTATGGCCCTGTATCTGTAGACGGAGTAGACGATCAGGTTGGACGTGTCGGGAACCATCAATTTCCTCTTCAATGCGGCATCACCGTGAGCGTCATTCGATTTCGTGGGCTCGTGGTTTGCGAAATCGAAACCGTCCGCTTGGAGTGCCTCATTGAAGATGGAGTGGTGGTTCCGGATGACAACCCGATTGTGATACGGATTCTCCTTTGTCGCAGGGATCTCCATGACATCGCGCGAATCGAGTAGGGGATCCCGTGTCATCAAATCAGGCCATGGCGTTTTCTTCGCCAAACGAGCTGCCTCGACTGACAGATCCCGGTCAATACCTGAGTCTATGAGGATTGCGAAGAAATTCACCTTTCTCCTCGTTCTTTCGCTTGACCTCAGCGACGAGTTTCTCTAATACAAGACATGAACAGGAGGATTGTTGCTGAGTACGAGCCACTGACTGATCTTTTGCTCTTGAGCTGCTTTCGTTTGTGGTGTTTCATCGCCTGGCATTGGGGCCAGGCGCATGAAAGCCTCCAGACGACGGATTCGGGGCAACCGAGGTTCTGTGCGGAACACCAAATGCACGTCTTCGTCGTATTTGGCGAACAAATCTGAGATGGCTCGCATGGTTTCAGGATTCTCATTGAAGAGAGGTGCAACGAGACTGTCGAGTAGAGAGAACAGAGCTCCTTGATCTTCCTGTGTGAAGATATTCTGAATCGTGTACTGGACATCACGGTTTCGAAGATGAGTTGCTAGTTCGTCGGCCAAGGTCTGACGGTAATAATATTCCGAGTTGTCTGCCAATCGAGATGTGATGCATGAGATTCCGTCTTGATATGTAGATAGAGATTGAACGCAAACGTACCGTACACCTCCCTCGGCGCGTCCAACACTCCAGGAACATCCCCGGCTTCCGTCAATTGAATGGCCTCCGTGTTCTGCAGATACCACTCCACCCGAGCGTTGAGCGCGGAAAGCGGCCCGTTATACCTCGCCAGTTGGTGCTCCACAAGTTCGGCAGACCATCTGTCCTCTAGGGCTGACCCAGAAGACAGCAATTGTGCCACGCGCTGCGCGACCTCCTCCGCGGGGGCAGTCTGCTCCTCCACCACATTCCCGAGTTTCGCCAGGCGCATTTGGAAAGTGGGTTCTAGAGAGGGGTCCGCGAAGGGCTCTGCGTGATACGTTTCATCGGCCTCCGGAGTGATGCCCAGCTCTGCGAGTTCTTCGAGGACAGCGGCCGGTGTTGCCTCTGCGCTGGGTTCTTGAGGCTGGAATCTCTTCGAGAACTCTTCGAAAGACACGGGAGTGGAATTGGGGTTGAAATGGGCCGACGCGGGGTTCTTCAGGTCCTGCACGTATTGCGCGTAGAGTGACTCCGGATTGACATTTTGTGAAGCATGACGCCGGTGCGTTAGGCTCGATGTGGGTATAGATGCACGGGACACACGGCGCGCCGTGAGGGAAGCTACTGTTTGTCTTGAACTCACCAGTCGCGCGAGTCGGTGCATGGCAGCATAAAACCGGGGGTTTCCGAAAGTCCAAAATTTGGTGACGAGCACGTGACTGCTTTTGACATTTCTGCCGTTGATAGTTTCGTCCTCTGGTCCGTGACAGGAGACTGAACCAGCTTGAGCCTGAGCTGGAAGCGTCCAGAGATGCATGCAGTCGTTGAACGTCTCAGTGTCTGACCAGTTTACAAAATAAGGTACTTTCCCTGTTGTGAACCACGGCTCATGTTGGCGAGACTTCCCAACAGGGAAGCAGTTGATTCCATCACCCACTGCTCCATGACTTGAACTGCGACCACAACAGCCATGCCGATTGTCCAATTCGCCCCTTTCGCCTCTCTCGTCCAGCCCGCGTTCTGGCACGAACTAACATCTCTCAAGATCGACGTGCTTCGTCTATCGGATGAAGCGCTCCCCATCACCGGCTCGTACTCTGTTGGCAGGTCCGTCACGGATCGCGAAACAGGGAACGAGATCGCGCTGGGTTGCAATCTGAGTGTAGGGGCCGAATCCTTCCACAAGAACTCGCAGTGAGTTCAGTGGGCCATCTGAACGTGACGCGGGCCTAACCATTTTATATTAGACCAGCATCCGGCGCGTATCTGGTCAAAGGACACTTCAAGAATTTCAACACGATCGAAGATTTCAAGTCTGCGGACAAAACGGCGTTGTTCAATCAGGAGGCGGAGAAGGTGCGCTCATATTCTCACCTTCGTGCCGCGATCTGATCGTGCTCCAAGATGTGGGAGAAGATCCTCACAAGTCGCGACACATCCGAGCTCAATAACTTCCTTCTGATTACTTATGCGGATCTGAAAAAGTACAAGTATTACTACTGGTTCGCGTTTCCCGCGTTTGTCGCGAAACCAGCCTGGGAGATAGAAGAAACTGGGTGGAAACCGGCGAGCGAAGCGTTGGCGCAGGATTCAGTACGTGTTGTACGGAACGAAGCACAAATCGCAGACTCACTCGACCTAGCTGTCATCGATTCATACGCAACTCCGAGTGTCTCCTCTCTCCTTCTTTCTTGTTCGTTCAGGCGTCGAGATCGCCCCCGTTGAATCTTACGCGTCCTTTTTTGCCAATGTTCCCCCCGAGGAACAGATAATTGGTTTCATCGATCCATCTGCGAACCCCAACAATCCGGGATGGCCGCTCCGAAATCTTCTTGCATACTTGCGGGCATTGTACCCTGCTGCAACAAACATAGTGAAGGTCCTGTGTTGGCGCGATGCGGAAGTCCCGACTGCTTCTGCCTCCTGGAAATCCCGCATCGGCGTTGTACATGCTGAAACTGGGACTAGCGAGACCGCTCGGCCCAGCGTAGTCGGTTGGGAGAAGAATCCTCAGGGAAAGCTTGCTCCTCGCATGGCTGATCTGGCGCCTATGATGGATCCTGTGCGCCTGGCTGACCAAGCTGTAGACCTGAACCTGAAGCTCATGCGATGGCGCATTCTTCCGAGTCTAGATTTGGAGAAGATCTCGTCGACCAAGTGTCTGCTGCTGGGTGCCGGAACACTGGGATGTTATGTTGCCAGGACGTTGATGGTGCGCTCGTCTCGGGTAACCTTCAAGCATTTCATGTCAGACTAATGATACGCAAGGGCTGGGGAGTACGAAACATCACACTGGTTGACTCTGGGAAGGTGTCCTTCTCAAATCCGGTCAGGCAACCGTTATTCGAATTCGAAGATTGTGTGAATGGAGGAAAGCCTAAAGCAGAGTGTGCTGCTGATCGCCTGAGGAAGATTTTCCCTGGCATTGTGAGCTTGCTGTTTTTGGGCCCCATGAACTGTATTAACACAGCGCAACAGAATGCCGCCGGTCACACACTCTCCATACCCATGCCTGGTCATCCAGTTCCTCCCGTCTCTGTTGCGCAAGCCAAGGAAGATGTACGTAGACTGGAGGAACTAATTGATTTACACGATGCAGTCTTCTTGCTGATGGATTCTCGAGAGAGTCGGTGGCTTCCGACTGTGATATCCTCTGCCAAGGGAAAGGTGTGTAACTGGACATCATGCGGGCCGTTCAAACAGTTATACCTGTTATCCAGATCGTTCTCAATGCCGCACTTGGTTTCGATTCGTTCCTTGTTATGCGTCACGGTGTGCGACACTCGTCGTTACGTCCTGGTGCCACCCAGCTTGGATGCTATTACTGTAACGATATCGTTGCTCCGGCCGATGTAAGTGTCGACATCTAATCACATTATGAAGGCTCACCCCTGCACAGTCATTGACAGACCGGACTCTGGACGAAATGTGCACAGTCACTCGGCCAGGGCTTGCCCCGATTGCTGCCTCGACTGCTGTCGAGCTGTTGGCATCTGTTCTACAGCATCCAGATGCGTGAGTGGATAAGTTGCCATTGTGAACCTGATCTCAATGTATGTCAGGAACCACGCCGGAGCCCCCCCTCCCAACTCAGATCCCTCTGCGCTTATTGGTGGGGGCGTTTTGGGGCTTGTTCCTCATCAACTTCGTGGTTTCTTAGCGCAGTTTCGCAACTTGCACATCGTTGGAGCAGCATATGACAAGTGCACTGGATGCAGCGAAACAGTACGTCTTTCCCATTGGAATTTATCAATCAGGATCTGACACGAGTCAGGTTCTGAAAGCGTATGAGTCTCAGGGTTTCGATATGATCCTAAATGCTTTGAACGATGACAAATATCTGCAAAAGCTTACAGGCTTGGATCAGCTGTATGCTGAGGGAGAAAAGGCCTTAGAAGATGTAGATTGGGATGTCGATGACGGAGGAGATGATGATTTTTGAGGTTCGGTCGTTGCGATAGAGGTATAAAATTTCGAATGTAATGCTAGGATGTATGATACGACTACCAACAACTACCGGTGCAGGGGTCACCCATGGGAGCATAGTTCGGGAGAGCCTGTTGAAACAGAATATTTAGATACTAGAAAGTGGCTGCCGTATCTGGGTAATTTAAAAAGAGTACATCGCGAATTTCCCCAATACCTTCCTAAACGGGATGTGAAGTGGTTGTTTGTGCTTGCTTCAATCGCATTTCACTTCGGCCCGGACAACCATCCTACCACTTCTTTAGCCGTCGGCCCCCATTGTGAAATAGTGCAAGCTCCGACTTACATACCCTTGACCCTGTTTTCACGCGCTGTCGAGAACTTACATACCCGGGACATCCATTTACGCGACTCGCATACGCTGCCTATAAGACGAGGCAGTCTTACCTCATGCGGTGCGTCTGCTTGTTGCACTCCATTCACCTCACTCCACCTTATCTCACGATGGAACTACAGCCAATCTCCAGCGTCGTCCCGGGGCCCTCCCTTCCCCCGACCCCCGGCGATGAGTCTATCAGGACGTTCTGTATCACGGAACCCAACGGCGAAAGAGACGGAGCCGCTATCATGGCAAGCAGCTCGAACGGCGTAGAACATGACTCCGTCGTGAATGGTAAACAAAGGAGACGTGCCAAGATTCAGCTGGCGGGGATCTATGGCGCTATGTTTCTGGCAGGTTTGTTCGATCTATTTTTGGTCGTCGTTTTTATCCATCTAAAATTTTTCAGGATGGAATGATGGTAGAATCTCGGTCTTTGGCGCACTCATGACGCCTGGTTCAATTTGCGACAGGTTCAAGTGGACCGATGATTCCACGAATTCAGAAAGTATACGATGTGAGTAGCCTCTATCAAGTGGTGACTGCGACTCATTCGATGGCCGCTCCAGATCGGCTTTGTTCTCGTGTCGATGACTTTCGTATGCGCTTGCGTGGTACTGCCGCTTTCTATCAGGGATGGGACAGGAGGCTGACTTGAGCAGGGCTTCATTGGTGGCGCGTTAATCAACATGCACTGGGCGGATCGTTTCGGCTTCGGCAAGATGGTGGTTCTTGGTGCGTGTAAACGGGACATCGGTCTCCTTGGCATAACTCGTGAAAAGCCATCGCCTGTCAAGCGGTCGCGTTCGCCATCCAGGCATCTGCACCTCCGTATCCTCTGTTTGCCATCGCATTTGCCGTCAACGGGATAGGCAACGCTATCCAGGTACACATTTTGAAATTGTGTGAATCATATGAATCCTCAAGGGGAGTAGAATGCGCAAGGAAACGCATACGTCGCGAGTTTGAAGAAGGACTCTGAGACCTATATGGGATTGCTACATGCCAGGTGAGCTGCAATTCATCCTTCATGCTTTCCGGCTCTGACTGTGCCTTCAGTTATGGTAAAAACCTCTAAACGTGACATGTGCCCCTCTCAACCGTTGTGACAGGCGCAGGAGCTTTCACAGCTCCTCTAGTGGCCACCCAATTTTCTCAGATGCCCCGGTGGTCCTTCCATTATCTTGTGTCCATGGGGATCGCAGTCGCGAACCTCGCCTCGCTTGTTCTGGTCTTCCGATTCCGTTCGCTTGAAGGTGATAACGAATGTTGCCTCACTAGATTTTGCCGACGCTGAACTCGCAGATTGCTTGGCACGGGTTGGAGAATCTGCTGGCGAGAAGAGCACCAGCGATCACAGTAATTTCCGACAGATTCTTTCGCTGAAGAGCGTTCACCTGCTCTCCATCTTCGCGCTGATCTATGTCGGCGTTGAAGTCACAATTGGAGGTATGTTTGTATCGACAGGTTGCCAAATGGCTGAATTCTGGTTCTCAGGCTGGATTATCACATACATCATCGATGTTCGCCATGGTGGGCCTTCTGCAGGCTACATTTCGTCTGGATTCTTTGGGGGCCTCATGATGGGTCGGTTGACTCTCCTTTGGGTCAACAAAGTGGTCGGGGAGAATCGGGTTCTTTATCTCTATGCATTCCTGGCGATTGGGTACCTTTCAATCTCCCTTCATGAGGCTCGCACTAATTGTGAGATTGTCAGACTCGAGCTGATCGTTTGGTTCGTGCCCTCTCTGATCGGAGGTGCGGTTGCCGTCAGTCTGGTCGGGATGTTCTTGGGCCCCATCTATCCTATTATCATGAACCGCGCTGCTCGCGCCGTTCCTCGGTGGTTGCTCTCGCCGTCCATCGGCTGGATTGCCGGATTCGGGCAAACAGGGAGTGCCGCTCTTCCGTTTTTGACTGGCGCCGTCGCTTCCAAGGCTGGCATCCGCTCTCTTCAGCCCTTGTACGTCGCTCCCTTTTTAATTTGCGCCTTGCTGAACGTAGACAGGCTCATATCCATGATGGCTATGTTTCCAGTTATTTGGGCCATGGTCCCCATCTCTCGGCGCATTGACTGATATCTTACGGAGTGATGCTTGTGCTTTAGATTCTGTGTACTGTACCTTTAGAATGTTGACTACAGGTCATAGCGATTTTGTTAGCTTTTCATTCAGACAACTGCTGACCACCTGTAAATCCTCGATATCCTTCGCAGATGTAAGTGCTTATGGCCATTTTGGACATATGTTGACTCGAACCTGTGCAGAGATCTCTTGAGCCACTAGTCTGTACTGTGCACTGCTGTGATCCTTGACAAGATAACCGCTGTTGACATAACATGATCAGGTGGAAAAAGGATCAAAAATGATTGAACTGTGGCAAAGAGCTTTACTTACTTTCTTGTAGGTTCCATTCAAGTCCCATAGAGCCTTTGTCTGCCCTTCTAGATTGACTTCATTGCAGGAATTCATCCCAATTTGAAAGACCTAGGTGGAAGCGCACACACCCACAAAAGTACTGCTGTATATATATTCTTTGGTCCAGACCACATTAAAAACGCTTCCTGTAGCATTTCATTTAATTTTTATGTCATGCTTCACAAGGTTTGAAAAATACAATTTTTTTTTGTTCATGTCACCGTGGTCAAGTACGAAAACTGCCAAAATACAAAATCGCTGAAAATTGCCCCCAAATTTGAAAATTTGGCTTACACAATTTTTGGAGATAGGGGCTTATTTGGGTATTCAATTCAACTGTGATTTCAGCAGTTTAAAAGATTCTAAGCTTTTTACAGTGTATCTGCTCTTGTACATGCTATTTAGATTTTTCCTGGCATTTTCTGATGAAAATATGAAATTTCCGGGGATGTTACAGTCTTCCCAGGCCAAGTACGAAAAATGACTTTTGTGCTTTTGGGTCACAGATCACAGGCCGGTACAAATTGAATCAAGTGGTACAGTACCTTCCTAAAGAGGATGTCAAGTGGTTGTCTGCGCCTATTATGACAGCCTCTCGCTTCTTCGGACCGAAGAGGATGATCAATCAATACTACAACTTCTCTAGCCGGCGGCCCGCTGCTGTGAAATAATGCAAGTTCCGGCTTACATGCCCTTGGCCCTGCCCTCATGCGCAGTCGAGAACTGACATATTCGGAACATCCATTTACGTGACTTCGCGTATGCTGCCTATAAGACAGGGTAGCCTTACCTCTTGCGGTGCGTCTACTTGCCACACTCGCCCCTCAACTCGCCCCCTCCCTCTCAAAATGGAGCATCAGCCAATCACCAGTGTTGTTCCTGGGCCCTCCTCCCCTCCGACCCCCGGCGATGAGGTTATACAAATGTTCTGTATCTCAGAACCCAACGTCAATAGAGATGGGGATGCTATCATGGCAAGCAACCTGAACGGCGTAGAACATGACTCCGTCACGAATGGCAGACAAAGGAGGCGTGCCAAGGTTCAGTTAGCGGGAATCTACGCCGCCATTTTTCTCGCAGGTTTGCCTCAGTTATTTTCGTTTACTGTTCTAATCTATGTAATAACTGACAGGATGGAACGATGGTAAACCTGTCTGCAATAGAGCTGTTCAGCAGAACCAAAAAATCGATTTGTTTTTTACGAGTTTCCTGGTTGTGGAGTAGACTTTACTTCCCAATTACTTAGGTGTGGAGTGTCGTAGGAATAGCACCGAGGCCGAATTTTGACCGAAAAGGAAACATGCCACCGAAGACGGATCTGATCATTCTGCACGTGTAAGCAGATTGAAGACATCGTTGTCCTCCATATTGGCGAGAAGACCGAGAACAACCGCAAGGATTCAATTTACAGCGTTGGTGAGGAAAGACGGCATCCTCCGCCATGGAGTTTGAGTTCAGATGAGGACAGGAAATGAAGTGGTGGTTTGGCCGCTCGGCTCATCACATGATCGTGGTGACGGAGTTCCCGGCGTTCATCCGGTGTTGTGTGTAACTCAGATTTTTCTAAGCTCCACTCATATTTTACAAACTACTAGCTAAAAATCGTGTTTGAAACGACTGCTGAACAGCTCTAATGCCTCCATGATTCCAGAATCAATTCGTGATAGGTTCGAGCGGGCCGATGATTCCACGAATTCAAAAGATATACGATGTGAGCGACCCGTATCACGCAGTTGCGACGACATAACCGATGGCCTTGCTCCAGATCGGCTTTGTTCTCGTGTCGATGACTTTCGTCTGCGCTTGCGTGGTACTACTGTCTTCAATTGGAAAGGATGTGACAAATACTGACTCGAACAGGGTTTCATTGGTGGCGCGTTGTTCAATATGCACTGGGCAGATCGCTTCGGCTTTGGGAAGATGTTGGTGATTGGTGCGTGCAATTGGATAACCGAGAGGCGTGGCATGACTCGTGAAAAGCCATCACCTGTCAAGCGGTTGCGTTCGCCATCCAGGCATCTGCACCGCCGTATCCTCTGTTCGCTATTGCGTTCGCCGTGAACGGGATAGGCAGTGCAATCATAGTGCGCTTTCTGAAACGGCATGGATGATTTGAATTCTTAAGGAGAGCAGAATGCCCAAGGGAACGCATACGTTGCTAGTTTGAAGAAGGATTCTGAGATGTATATGGGAATGCTACATGCCAGGTGAGTTGCAATCTGTGCGTCTTTGCTTTCCGGGATCTGACGGTGGCTTCAGTTATGGTAAAGACCTTTAAACGCGACGACTTCCCAGCTCAATAGTCTTGATAGGCGCCGGAGCATTCTCGGCTCCGCTAGTGGCCACTCAGTTCTCTCAGATGCCGCGATGGTCCTTCCACTATCTTGTGTCCATGGGGATCGCAGTCGCGAACCTCGCCTCGCTTGTTCTAGTCTTCCGTTTCCGATCGCTTGATGGTGAGTAAAGTCGCTAGTTTTGTTACATGTCACTCACCGTGAACTTGTAGAGTGCCTGGGACTGGTCGGAGAATCTGCTGGCGAGAAGAGCACTAGCGACCGCAGTACTTTCCGACAGATTCTTTCGCTGAAGAGCGTCCACCTGCTCTCGATCTTCGCGCTGATCTATGTCGGTGTTGAAGTCACAATCGGAGGTATGTTCGTCTCAAAAGGTTGCTAAATGCCTTTTGAATTGGGCTTTCCAGGTTGGATCATCACATACATCATCGATGTTCGCCATGGTGGACCTTCTGCAGGCTACATTTCGTCTGGGTTCTTCGGAGGCCTGATGATTGGTCGACTGGCTCTTCTTTGGGTCAGCAAAGTGATCGGAGAGAATCGAGTTCTTTATCTCTATGCATTCCTGGCAATCGGGTACGCATTCCTTTTCCTGGCTCAGAATAGCACAAACTGTAAACTTGTCAGACTCGAGCTCATCGTTTGGTTTTTGCCCTCTCTGATCGGCGGTGCGGTTGCTGTCAGTCTGGTCGGGGTGTTCTTGGGCCCCATCTATCCTATCGTCATGAACCGTGCTGCTCGCGCCGTTCCTCGGTGGTTGCTCTCGCCATCCATCGGCTGGATTGCCGGATTCGGGCAAACAGGGAGTGCCGCTCTTCCATTCTTGACTGGCGTAATCGCGTCCAAGGCTGGCATCCGCTCTCTTCAGCCTTTGTATGTTGTTTCTATCTCAATCCCCCTTTGCTGAGAAAGGGCAGGCTTATATCCATGATGGCTGTGTTTCCAGTCATTTGGGCGATGGTCCCCATCTCTCGGCGCATCGACTGATTTCTTCGGGAGTAATATCTTGTGGTGCTTTAAATCGTGTGATAGTATCGTATACTCAAAATATCGAGCCCGTTTGCCGTAGTCCATGTTAGTTTCGTTGAGTATCCGTTCTGGAAGTTGGCGGTCGCGTGACATTGGCGCGACTCTTTGGGCATGTTTTGCCAACTTCCCGCGGCCCCCGATCTGTTCTGTAGTTCGCACTGCGAACAATAATCCCTTCTCCTCTCGACCGCCCCTCGACCGCAATGGGTACCGTGAAAACATACTTCGACTTGACTCCCGAAGTCTTTCCCTGGCGCGATTCACGGGCACAACAAATCGAACAACGACGCGCTGAGCTGGGAGATCTTCTTCTCTTCGACATTCTATTAACGTCTGGCGGCATACGCGAGCCCGACACGCTCTACCCGCCCCGAGACACAGAGACTTTCTACCGCCTGTTTGAAGCCATCCAGTCTTCGCGCTACGACGCGTTGAAGCGGGACTGCCTTGTGTATTTCCTGCTCAAGTGGTACCAGGACGGTCGCGAGGAACGGTTCAAGTTCGACCGGTGTATTCCCTCACAATTCACGGCTTTGTCGGATGCATATTGGAGCTTGGATTCTGGGGTTGACGTGCCGGTGCGTTTTGTTGACGGCAGCATGGTTTCGATGTGGGTGGCTACTAAACAACTCTCAGCGCGCTGTTTCCATCCTCTCGGACGCTCGTCTGAACACGGACTACGCCACAAAAATTATCCAGGCCATCTCATTAATGCCGAACTCCGCATCTTATGTGCTCAAATACGTGCGCACCGCCAAGCCTTCTCTGACCGAGCCTCACGACATCGAGTTGTACACATTGGCTCTTGCAGAGGTCAGCCTCGTCGAGGCGTGGAGATATCAGCGGACCTTTAGTGAAAAACATCCGTTCCGTCCCAGGTTACTACAGAAACTATTAGACTGGTGTTTCACCCGTGCGTCCTTTGTTCCTCGTCTACTGACGTATAGTGATTATTGCCCTAGCCTCCGTACGAAAAAATGCGCTTGTGCAACTGCTGGCGATCGCCATGTCGTCATACGAGGACCAAGTGATTCAGGCTTACGCTACTCCACCTTCTGAACTGCCGGCCGAGGCTCTCGAAACACTTCAAAACCTATTATGTGTCCGCCACATCCAAGCCGGACGCTACGCCGAAACGATCAAACTAGACCGCCAGTTCTCCTTGGCGTCGTCCAGCAAGTCTGCTCTGCAGAGGGAACGTGCGAAAATGGTGCAGGACTTGTTGGCCGCCTTGCCCCAAGTTGAACGAGCGAGTCTGGAATTGGATTTGGATCCTGACACGAGACCCGGACTGATCGCATCTCTGAGCGGTGACTTGGGGCCTGCCAATACTCGGGAATGGGACATGAGCATGTCCTGGGAGGAGATCATGCCTGTGGCCGCTCCGGCAGCGAAGCCGGTGGTGCCAGAGACTGTCCTCTCTGCATCCAGGCTTGGATTGTCTCAGTCGAGGACACACCCTGTGGACATTCCTGCTCCAGTTTTGTTCGCGACCCCCAAAGCTGCCGCGCCGAGGAAATCGCTGAACGGATCGACGACCGTGTTTCCGGCGTTGTTCCAATCGGCCAGTGGGTCTGGTTCTCCGTCGGTCTTCACCTCGGCCAACCGAGTTCAAAATGCGTTCTACAAGCCCCCGCCACTGCAGATATCATCGCCGATGGTATTCGAGCAAGTTCCAGTGCAACCGACAAGCGGAAGTGTGCCTGGAGTCCAGGATGTGGAGATGGATGAAGAAGAAATTGAGCCCGAACCAACCGAGCAAAGGGATCAAAGCCTTTCGTACTCGGTGTTCCAAGGGAAACCACCTGCAGTGGTGACTGCACCAGCTCCGACCGTGACCCCGCAGACGATTCCGATGAAACGTGCGCCGCCTGGCGCATTTACGAGCGACGATGACGAGCACGAAGCCGAAGCCGATGTCTCTGAACCGGTCCCGCCACCGCCGAAAGCCTCACGCAGATCAACCGCTGCGAAAACCAAAGCTGCTCCCAAGGCCAAGACCCGGTCACGTGTCAAGACCAAGGACTTGGGCCGGAGTCTGCCTGGATCGCTGATGGATTCAGAGGTCGAGGAAGATGAGGACGATGATGTTGGACCTCTTCCAGAGCCTATTGTTCAGCCAGCGCCGGCCAGGAGAAGATCGTCGCGGTTAAGCTCTGCATCCGTGGAGGAGAAACCGACGACGAAGACGAGGGCGTCTACTGGGAGAAAGCGACGTGTATGAAGAGGATATTACTTATATTAGTGAGTATCGGTATCATACTTTGTACCACACGAAACTCGTTCGAGTGGGGACTTGAGTGTTGCGGACGATCTCCTTTAGGTCTCGTCCGCCGTCGACTCGCTCGTACATCACAATGCCGCCCGTGCCAGCTGCTGCTCCCGCGACGAGGTACTCACTGTCGTCGCCCCCGAACATCATTCCCCGCACCTGGTCCAGGCCAGTGAAGACCTGTTTGACCAGCTCCAGATGCTCCCCCGGGGTTCCCTCGCCCACGTTTTCGTAGATCGCGATTGAGTCACCGGTGGGCGCCTGGACTCCCTTGTTACGGTTCGACACATAGATGTACTGTCTCGGGAACCGATGTGACGGCCTGGGGATCAGAACCTCGGCGCCGGCCATCAGGGCACCAGCGGGAACACCAGGGGGGACAATGGACACGGAGTCGATGATGCTTGCGGTGCCGTTCGGCGCGCGGGGAATGGCTTGCACAGTGAGCGTCGATGCAAGCTCGTGCACGACGTAGAGGCGGTTGTCTGCAGCGGGTCAGATGGGGGGGAAGCGGTGCTGCTGCTCAGGACGCACTTGCAATAGCCATGTGGCGCGGCCCGCTTCCTCCAGGCTGGGGAATGAATCCCGTGATCGAGTAGACGCCTTCCTTCTTGTCTGCACTGAGCCGCCACACTTTATCCGAGCCCTGGCATGATTGTCAATACTCGAGAGCTTCCGTAGACGTATCCAACGCACAAGATCTGGGATGAAAATCTCGTGCCCATACTCCACTGCCATGTGCGGGTGCGAGAGATTTCCTGGCGGCGGAGTGAACGTGATCGCGGGCGTGTTGTTCAGAAAGTGCGATGCAGAAGATTCCGAGGTCACGATCACCCGGCCCGTGCCACTCCCGTAATTCACGACAGCAAGGTCGCCGGTGGACGGCATGATCGCACAGAACGCAGGCCCGTCTCCACCTGACCAGACGCTGTCCACTGCGGCAGACAACACGCCTCCTTTGCGGTGGAACGACTGCACGGCTCCCGGGACATTGGCGTTCACCGCACTGCGCTATGTCAAGAACGTGCTTCGCGGCAGAAATGGGCTTGCGCGTACTAGAGTATGCTGCTGTCTCTCGGATGCCCGCTGATCCACGACGGGTTGGCTCCGGAAGGATAGTTCGCACTGAGCGTCAGCGACGCGTTCCCCGGGGTGAACAGATACGAGGAGATGAAGACATCGAAGCCCCCAGCAAGGATATTGAAACCGACCATTGACCCAGACATTAGAATCGAGAGCGGCTATTTGAAGGATTGGTGACAAGGCACCAGATAGGCAATCAGCTCAGCAAACCAACAAACCACCACATGAGCCTCGCATATGCTGCCAAGATCAAAGAGCAAGTGCGTCCGAGGGAGCAGAAGCTACCATTTAGACAGCTTGTCAGTTTCGGCCCTGGGACTTGCTGCGACGAGGCTTGAACTCTTCTCGCATCAAAAAAGCTGATTCTTCGATGGCATGCTGGGACAATCGTGGGGGCCCGGGCGAGGAGGTGCTCTTGAAGCTGTGATGACTAAGCTGTGTTCCCACGCAAGCTCTGATTCCAGAATGGTTCCGCCGCGTGGGCCGTCAGGGTCGGTCTTGGACGCCTAGTCTTTGACAAATAGCTTTCTCGGGTGTATTAGAGAATGAGAACCGTAAACTATGCGAATTAGACCTTGTACCAGACGAAACTTGTGCGAGTAGGAATATCAGTGTTCCGCACGACCTCTCTCAGGTCGCTCCCCCCATTTACTCGCTCGTATATGACGATCCCAGCCGACCCAGCTACTCCGCCAGCGACGAGATACTCGTTGTGATCGCCACCGAACTGCATCGCCCGGATTTGATCCAGCCCTGTAAACACATGTTTTACCAGGCGTAGATGCTCGCGGGACGTGCCTTGCCCGACGTTCTCGAAAATGGCGATCGAGTCGCCGGCGGGCGCCTGGACGCCGGTGTTGCGGTTCGACGCATAGATGTATTGTTTTGAGAATTGAGCGGAAGGTGGAGGAATCAGAATCTCGGCGCCAGCCCAGAGAGCACCGGCAGGTGGATTCGGTGCGAGAATCGAAGCGGACGAGATGATGTGAGACGTGCCGTTTGGCGCGGAGGGGATCGCTTGGACCGTGAGCGTCGAGGACAGTTCGTGCAGAACATAGAGCCGGTCGTCTAGGCAGGCAGGGTAAGCGCAGGCAGCCAAGCCAGTCTGGATATCGATTACGCACTGCTGATCCTAATGTGTCGGGGTCCACTACCGGCCGGCTGGGGGATGGATCCAGTAACGGAATAATCCCCGGCCGTTTTTCCAGGGCTGAGCCGCCAGATCATGTCCGAGCCCTGTGGACCAGATGAGTTCGCTCGGACCTTGTACACACCCATCGGAACATGGAACATCGACGCACCAGATCGGGGACAAAGATCTCTTTCTTGTACTCCAGCGCCATGTGCGGGTGAGACACATTCCCAGGAGGAGGAGTAAAAGTAATCGCGGGGGTGCTGTTGGCCAATCGGTCGTGCTGTGATCCAGTGAGGATGATGCGGCCGTTTCCACCGGAGTAGTTCATGATTGCCACGGCACCCGTGGAGAGGGCCACGCAGAATGCGGGGTTGTCTCCTTCGGATGTGACGGTCGACACGGCAGCAGAAAGCGTGCCACCTTGGCGATCAAAGGCCTGCAGTGCGCCAGGCGATAACTCGTTCGTCGCGCTACGACGAAGAGTTCAGTCTGAGTCAAAGGGGGCATGTCGCATGTACGCACTATAGGATGCTGCTGTTCGTTGGATGCGGAGTGATCCATGACGGATTCGCGCCAGACGGGTATTTGGCGGTGAGCGTCAGAGACGAGTTAGTAGTGTTGAAGAGATACGACGCAATGAAGAGGTCATAACCGCCCGCCAAGATGTTGAACGAGACCATGGCGAGAGGAGAACAGAGGGTTCTTTCAGCGAAAGGGGGTGGCTGAATTTATAGGCTTGGCCCGCACAAAAGTCGGCACGTTTGACCACATGAGTCCTTGGAACCCAAGGAAGAAGTTGCGATCTGCAAACGCGCTCAACGGTCGCTAACATGAATACGCGAAGAGGCCAAATTTCGCCGGCACTATCGGCCCGATGCTTGCAGCCACTAAATTTAAAGATCTCACGAGTCACCAGACACGGTCTCGTGATCGAGTCGTCATACGGGTTACACGAGTTTTATATAACTCTTGGAACATAAGCAGATTTGGCTGCGTCCCCGTCCGCTCTGAATCGCGAACAGGAATCAACCACACGCATCATAACTGGCCTTGGCATAAGTACTGTCGATGGACATTGAAATCTCCCTCGTAATTCCAGTGTGTGGCTTGCGACCGTGACCGGGACAAATTGACAAACACCTCGAGCGTTACCGATAGGTTGTCCACCAGTCATGGGCAAGGTTCAAACATGTGTGAAATTTCTCAAGGGGAATAGTGCTATCTTTCAGGGTCACAGTGGTCCAATGACACGGTGTCGGCACCAACAAGTTCCTCGCGTAGATTTCCCCTTTCTTGCGTCTGATACCATCCATTTTAACTGAGGCTGGGACAATTTTGACACGAGGATGGAATAGCCAGGACGCAAAAGATCGCGGAGGAGATTTTTTGGGGGGCATCACAAATCCAACCTCGGGGCATCGGTCCAGTTCAGAAGAAGAGTGTCCGTACTTGACAGAGACGACGGAGGTTGGCTTGACACCAGCAAATTATCGCATGCTGCCGACGGTGAAATCTGGGTGAAAAGTGAAGATCAAATCCAGCGCTCCGCTGTCAGCAATATCACATGGGGCTGGCTCACATTCACCTGTAGTATACATACTCGAATCGTACGGTGCAGCGAAGGTCGTTTGAGTGCTCAGAAAGACACCCGATTCTCCGCTTTCGAATGCAGTGGGAGGAGGTGAAATCTAACGCAATTCATCAAACAAACCACTTCCAGAAATTTGACACCTTTTCACTCATATGCATATCTGACGCGTCTCGTCCAATATGTTCGAAAACAGTTTCTCGAGCGCAATACATGTTTCCTGGCAGCACGAGCCACGAGCTCCATTCGAAGGACAATCCATTCGGCAGCTGTTGGTCATGCGCACAGAAATGACAGAGCGAGAGGCCGCCGACACTCAGGATTGAAGATGATATCAATCTCAGGTTCGCCCCGAAGCTCTTTTGGGCCGTCGTATAGGTCAACGTAAAGGACAGGAATAACCCCCGGACTTCGATATAGATAGCCCGCTAAATCAGTGTCACGCACACCTTCTCGATCCCGTGCTGATTTGCGAGTGCTGGAGCTTAATCTTTGTTGCGTGCAGCCGCGGCGTAGATCATCACTCCGAGATAACTGCGCGCGGATTCTATCCCTACAGAGGGGTAAGCTCGGGTGCCGCCCCAGGATATCAAACTCGAGGGGCGGAGAGTGCAGACTCAGAGAAGTTTCAACTGGAGCAAAGTTGGAGATCACAGACGATCAGCCGATGAAACTCGACTCCCACCAAATGGCCCCCATTTTCAAGGCGCCGTATCGCTGGGTGTCATGTTGGAGAGATTGGGCACTGGGTGGGGTCGTCATCATTTGCGTCAGTCACTCTGGATGGCTATCGTAGTCTGCTGAGAGCATGCAAGCTCCATAAGATTGGTTCCTTCGAAAGAAAGACCACTGAATTTGCTATGGGCGCAAAGGTTTTACGATCTCAAGAAAGTCGAAGGAGAGATCTGGACCTTTGTCAAAGATGTGTCAACAAGATCAGAGTATCATCAGTGGCTATGCCGCCCTCATTTTATCTCCCATGACATCGCAGAAAGGAAAATCGCCTGAAAAGCTCGACGTTGAGGACGAGGAAGAGCGTCTGGCCAGACTCCGTGAGGATTTTATATATCTCCCATTTTCTCGAGCTGATTTTCGTTTCGCTCTCTTCCAGAGAACACTCTAGAGAAACTGAACACGAACGCGCTGCCTACCGTCGAACCAGGCTCCAGTCAGAGACCAAACCTCGAAGCCATCTGGAATCACAGCGCTTCAGCTACCGCAGAAGTCGACGAGAGCTCTTTGCAACAACGTAGCGCGTCGTTTCTCTCCCAGAAAACGCCTCTGATCGCGTATCTAGTCCTCCAGCGCGTCCAAGCTTTTCTCCCACGAATGGAGGCTTCGAATACCGAGCTGGCCCAGATGGTCGCAGCCGATCCGCGGAGCGTTGATATCGAAAACGTGGACGGGGACAGGGAGGTCATACAGATGGTCCGTCTCGTTTGCTCGTCACATCCGCTCGACCACTGTGCTTACTTCTCTCAGAAACTCGGCCTCGGCCTGTTCGAAGAAAGGAATGGCACCGAGACGTCGTCCGAGGACTCGAGCTCTGACCCCGATTCCGATTCCGACACGGACACCATGAGCTCAGTATCTGAATCCTCTGACAATTCGACCTCGTCCTCCAGCGACGACTCGGACGAGTCGGAATCAGAGGCCTCGCATCATTCAAGACCCATCCGCCCGCTTCCTCGTCGGGCTCGCCCAGAGATTGAGGTCATATCCGAGACCACGTTTCCCGAATGACCACGTCGACTGAGGCCAAGCCGCGCGGGTGTGCGCCCCTGGAGCGGCCAGCTGTACATAGAACGACATTCTCCGCCATCATGAACGAACCATGCGCCGATACTCTCATCGCACTTCATACTTTGAACCGGGCGGTCTCGATGTCGCGCAGCGACGAACCAATGGGCAGTTGTTGGGGTGCGGATATGGATGTCGTCCCTGTTTGGAACAGCCGTAATTTTCGGCGGAAGAACCACATGACTGGGCTCATTGCTGTACGTTCTACAGTGCGGCCTCGGGACACCGCTCCCAGAATGTATCGTCACATGGAACCCGTAGTTCATGGCGGCGTCGTTGCTGGAGGCCTGACTGCCGGGGAACTTGATTTGGCATTGGCCGTGTTCGCTAGATCTTTCGAAGGATGTAGATTACGGCCCCACCACAGCAAACAGGTGCAGGATACGTTTCTATAAGAACTAACTGTAGAATGTTACTTTGTTTTATCGCGAGTGTCAAGAATCGACAGGGAGGGCTTGGTGCAATGGGTCTGTTTCCGTGAGATTCACCTGCAAGTTGCAAGTGTGATGAGAGATGTCCTCGATTGCTAGATCAATCACATGTACTACGTCTGTGACATTACGCCCTATACGCATCCGCGTTCTGAATGAGCGCATATATCCACTGGATCGTATGGAGATGCCCATCCTGGAGGATGTCAATAATCCGACGGCGCACTGTAGACTGCAAACGACATACAATGTGGATTCGCTCGTCGACGGTATGGATGTCATACTTGTCAGTGTGCCGCAGTGGCTCGAAACGGAAGATAGCTTTGCTCAGGTTTTGGAATGCCCGGGTGTCTGTGCCCCCATTCATCAAGGTCGGTGCCACAACAACATCATCACCCCAGAGATGTCTAGCAGATATTGAGCATGAAACTGGAACCATTCACGAGCCCCTCAGTCTTACTTGGCCGTCCCGGAGAATATACTGTGGATCATGAGAATGAGTACGTGCGATGTCCCAAAGCGGCTCCGCTCACTCCCAAGCGCTTCCATGCACAGCCGTTACAGGAGACGCGTCCGAGCCTCTAGGTGTAGTCAACTTGAGGTAGTGAGTGGCCCCCTCAGGGACCGCAGAGTCAAAATCTTCATCGATACATGAATCGAGTGCATTCGGAGTATAGTTCGACATGCTGCGCACCGATAACAGTCAGCCCAAATTGCTCAGCTGTGGGCGTGAGGATATCGAGATAACGTTGTTGGAGCTCCTTGACGGAGAAGTCCACTGAGATACGGTGGTTGACAATCGCCGTAGCCAGCTCTGGCAGCGCATTAACCTTGACTCCGCTATCCCAGAAATGATCAGCCCAATTCAGGTGGAAGATACAAGGCACCGACCCGGATATGATATCAACAGCTTGGGTGGTCGTCAGTCGTCTAAAATTCAATTGGGTATCCAGAGAATGCAACGAAGAAGGACCACATACGCTCCGTCGCCGGCATCAGCTGCTGCGATCATGGCTGCCGCCTTGTCCCAGGTGCGTTCACGCGACAATGCATCCTTCAGCGAAGGGTCGATCTCGGCATATTCAGCCAGACATTGGGCGTAAGCGGAAAAAGGGTTTTTGGCAGACAACTTGGGTTGGAAGGCATTGTCTTCAATCACTCGGACAAATTCGGCGAGCATCCCTATGCCTGTATGCGCGGGTCTAGACACTCGAGATAAGTTGCTGACTCCGGGTCTGACATGGAAACGCACGGGATGGAAGAATGACCGCCTGGAACCGAAACAGTCACTTCAACATTAGTGCTGCCCTTTTCACCGGTGGCCGGCGTGATGAATGTCGTGCCAAAGTAGTTTTCTTGGATGCCTTCTCCCTCGTCGATACTGTTGAGCTGGAGATCAGACAAGGCTCGCGAAAGAGATAAATCACATGCATGAATAGCATGCTGTCTTTGCCATAGATGCTTTCGATGTGGTTCGAGAGGTATTGGGCACTCCGCTGCAAGCATCCATCAACCACTGACTGCACGGGCATTCCATGAGACGCACCACGCCCCCACCCTCTTCATCGAAGCCGAAGGATAAAATCACGGTTCTCTCCGGTGCGAAGCCGATTCGAAGCAGTTCGTCGATTGCGCTCAGTTCTCCGATTCTAGATAGGCGCAGTGAGCAGTGTGAAGTGGCATACCGGAAACAATTTACAGCAGATTCTTGCAGTCTCCCCCGCCTGATACACGAGAACTGAGCTTGAGAACAAACCTAACGAGCAGTTGTTCAGGACTGACCACGACCCCAGATCCATCCTGCCTCGACGAAGTAGCCCTCAAACGGCGGGTGAGTCCAGCGGCTAACAGTGCTTTCCGGGACCGGAACTGTGTCCTGGTGGGCCATGAGAACTAGCATTTGTCAAATTCCAAGTCCAGAAACCAGGGGCAAGTCATACTGATGGGAGCCAGAGACGCGTCTGAGCCTCGCCAAGTGAGCACCAAGCCGTGGGTGGCAACATGCTCCAACTCGAGAGCGCCGAAACTGACATCGCAATCAGGAATGCAGACACGGTGATACAAGGTAGGGGTACTTACACCGAAGGGAAAGTTTCGACCAAATATGTCTCGAAGTCGCCGAACTTGTCATACGCCGGGTCTCATTGAAAGGATAAGCTTCCCTCTGCAGCAATGTTCTACAGATGAACCCCATACCTGATCCGTTCGAGGGGGACACATCGAAGGTCTCGGTGCGGACGCGTATCGCGCCAGTGAGGCGCGCCGCGGCGGTCGCACGGTAGTCATCACCCTCAACGGGAGCGAATGGATGAGTCGGCGCGATGGCTGGCGACTGGGCGGGACAGTGCACAGGGAGCCGTAGTAAGTCGCGAGCCGATGCGCGGTCATCGTGGACCAAACTGAAGTTGTGATAGAGTAGACCGCCTGCTACAGCAGCTAGTGCGACGAGAGGAAGGATGCGTCCTACACGGAAGAATTTGCGCTTTGATTTGGTGGGGACATCGTCCAGAGGTAGGCCGCGCATCGTGGTGGGAACTGAGGAGTGATAAGGATTAGAGACGGAAGAGTTCGTCTAGATAGCGGAAGATGCGCTAATCGACAGCCTGAATCGCGATAGGGCAGCGTGCTCCGTAAGTAGGCGGCCGTTCGATACAGGGTATTTGGCTCTGAGATCCCTAAGACGTTCGCAAACTCCGTGCATAGAGTATCCATCATGCTTCAGGACAAGAGCGAAGGCTCATTACCGTCAATGGCGGCATTGCCGCGGAGCCGTACAAGTCCGATCCGACAGTGAGGCCGATCACCAGTCCCTTGTCTCTTGTCCTCTTGTCTGTCTTGATCTCTCCTGAATGGCACTTCCAGCTCATCTGAACTCGTGGCAAATGGGCTTTGTTCTCAAACTCTACGCAATCACACTCGCGCCTTTGCAGTGGAAACTCGGCAAGACTGTGGAAGGGAACTCGGCTGGTGTTCACACAAAGACCTTCCCTCTAGCAATCGAACAAAGCTGCTGGATCCTCTGATATAACTGACCATCATATCCCTCTACACCAAACCCTCGACGGGGACCACTGTTATACGCTCTTTCCACCCCTCAGGAACCGCAGACCGGATTCTGTTCTCATCGCGACTTGTCGTCCATGGGCATTACCACTCCGCGCAGCAGGCATCGCACGAAAGAGCCAGCAGACGCCCGAGCTGCACTCATGGCCCGAGTCTCTCCTGGCCGTTTCCTCAACTTGAATGTCAAAGTGTCAGGCTCCCGCTCGCCGTCATCTCGCCGCCGATCTCAATCTTCGAAGTACACATTCAGTGTCGCACCCCTGCCCCCGCTCTTACCCAACCTGGGACGAAGCGCCTTCCTGCTGGACCAATCTCTGTTTTCGCCGGACGGCACGCTCGTCCGCGCCGCACAGCACGCAGGGGCGAGTGAATCCGCCATGCATGATTCCGACTCTGTGTCGGAAGTGGAGTGGGAACGCGTTTTGCCTCTCCGGAGGACCATCCATCTCGTTGACAGCTGGCGTCAATCGTGTGCATATGCGCTGAAGCCAGACTGTGATATGCCCCCGTACGAAGAGCAGCTCGAGCGCATGGCGTTGGATCCCGAGGAAGACGCCTCGATGATGTTTCGTTGTGCGCAGGTCGCAGACGAAATGTTTTCCGACTTCATCTGCATGGAGGAGGATTAGGTCTTCGTCTTCGCCCTGTCTTGGTCCTGTGACATGACCGCTCATATTCTACTTCACACACCACTAATTTTGTATCTGAAACGTGTATCCTTATCTTCAGTATTTCTATACGTACAATATGTTACAGACAACAATGCGAATGCGAACGCTGGGAACAATATCACAGATTAACTTTGCCCTCTGAATGTAGGTCAGTGGAAGCAGCTTGCGCTCTTTGTTCCAACGGAAACTGGTCCCCATCGAAATCCTTGGATGCGATGTGGTATGTCGGCTGGGTGGAAGCGACACCGGCGCTTTCAGATGTGGGAGCGACGGATGGTAAGCCTCCGATTCTCAAGCTGGAGATCGGGGCAGAAGCCGATGGCGCGCTATCCAGCACTCCCGCTTTTGTTTGAGCCAATACGACGACGATAGTTGGGTAGATTCCCTGTAAAAGAGGATGAGCACCGTTCATACCGGCTTGGATCTAGTCACTCACCACTATTACGCTCGTCGCATACGAAAACATCGTGAACAGAAACGACAAAACGTTGTTCGCCGTGACGAAGCGATGGACCCGGGGGACGTCACCCACGAGTTGAATCGTCTGCAAAGGATCAGATATGCACCCAAGGTGAGAGATGAACCCCATACGAAGAACAAGAAATAGAACAGCCCCGATTCGATCATGAGGACCAGTATGCTCTCGCCTTGGGACCGGACTCGCCGATTCCGACCCGAACCTGTCTGCCAGGAGGATTTTCCAGGGTCGGACGTCATCGATTTGAGACCGGAAGCGTACGACCAAGCGGTTGCTCCAATCAGCCCTGTGGCAAGTGTCGTGGTCGCACAGGCCATAGCATAAGTCGAGATCTGCACATTCCGGCAAAGTTCTGGGTTTTGGAATGTCCCAAGCACGATTTCGGACCCCACAGCTCCGACACAGTACGTCAGCAGTACCGTCACCACTGTCGAGCCGAGAAGAGACGCGAGGGGAAGGACGATCACCCAACGTGGGAAATATGTGCGAAGATTCCATAGCCGCCAAATGATAATGGCGTCACCGATCAAAGACTAGGGACGTGCAAGGCTATTGAGAATCAGGTAATAATCGAGCGTAGGGCATCGCACCAGATAAGAATACAGTGCATCCTGGGCTGCGGCTAGTTTGAGGATGAAGGCTAGTGCGTTATGGAATCTCGCGTCGAGAGCAAGGTCCAGGTCAATAACCATGCTCAACTTCACCTCCATGATGAAGTTGGCCATATCCAGCGCCCAGAGAACCACGCATACGGCGAACATCGTGAGCAAGGCAATGATGGTCAGCAGGGTAGGAGTCCTGCGCCATTCTTTTCGGCTGCGGGCAACAAGCAATGAGAGCATGTAAACGCGACAGCGAAGCAACACACAGCAGCACAGAGCATGCCTTCAAGACCAGCACGCCGTAGATCGCTTTTTACGCGTCAAACAATTACGTGAATGCGAAAACCGTTTGACGCACTGAGAAGTATGGACTCATTCACTATTGCGACGAAGGACTTGATCAGGTCCAACCCAATATTCCGGAGCGTAGCCGTCTCTTCGGGTGTCATTCAGGCGCACGGGTGACGGAGGGAGTCCGAGAGGGCATTGAAAAGAGTGATGTGGGGGACTGAACTTATGTATGTCACGGCGAAAGCGTGGAAACACCGCATATCAGTCTGCGCGATGTGGCGTGATCACATGTGCTGCATTGAGCACAGAAGTTGGACATCGTTGAACTGAGCCTGGGACGCAGCTCGGGGATGTGTTACCGATGGCTGCAACTGGTAAAAAGGAGAGACACCGAGTCCAGCTGAGACCCACGTCCTTGACCAACTAGCTAGCGCATTTTCCCTGAAGTTTTTTCCTCTTCAAGGCACGCCGACTCCGGAGGATTTGCAAGTGATGGCTATCATGGAGAGATAAGTAGCCATCAGATTGAACTTCGGAGTCTTCCGATGGCCCAAGTCTCTCCCAAGACGGACAGATCTTTGATTCTTGGAGTCGTTCCCACAACCCGCCCTGCCTCAACGGCCCAACGGCTATCAAGCCATCAAAGTTGTACCACTGTGTGTATACTTTCGCTGTAAAAGTATGCACAAAGAAATAGAATCTTGGTGAAAATAGCGCATCATTGACTGCATGAGTTGTAGCTCTCTCCTGCGCACTAATTGAACCCCAGGAGATTCACTGGGTGGAATGGACCATCCGAACGGGTTGCTGGCCGAATGTGCGGGGTGATCCCCGGCAGACGGCTGGCGGATCATCAATGCACTGCAAATCGTCTTGCCCACAATAGATGCACAGAGGTGTTCGTCCATCTGTCAGCTTGAACAGGTTTCTTGCAAGTTCCAGCTGTAGCCATGCAACACGGGTGGACATCTATCTCCATACATAGAAAACAAGCCTCTACGAACTGTCTGGAGCTGAGATACTGCGGCCAGATTTGGACCAGAGTAGAGCCAGTCCAGACCCGGCACCAGATTGAATCATCATCCGTCAGAGTCCGATACGTGCACGAATGTCTCGGCCAGCGATTGCCAGGTAAACATACAAGTTTCCAAAATAGATTTCTCTGTCAGCGCCAGGGACACTGCCATCCTGCGACTTGGCGCGGAGTCTTCGGGCAAACTCTATATGGCATGTTTCAGCGACGGAGAACAATGATTCACTACTCCGACACCTACGTCTAGCAGTTCTCCAAGCTCCCTGATCGTTGGTTCTCCCCTGCTGATGCCGGCAGAACGCGCTCTACAGAGCGAGAAGATAAGTCCGGATAGCTGGTGGATCGTTGATCCGTTCGTTGTGTATCCTGAAATATGCTCGGGCGACTCGTGTTGCTCCATCCCTGATTGACATCGAAGCAGATGTTCGACGCCTGATAAGATGGCTTCTTGCGCAGAGGTGGGGCCGCGGATGCCAGTCCTGCTGCAGACAAGAGCAGCGGCGAGATAGAGCCAGAGTCCATGCGAGACTGTTCCATCGGCGTTGACACAGAACGCGTGTTTCCTGTCTATGTATACAAGCTCAGAGGACTCTTCGAGGATTTCCCAGGAAAGCGATTGCAACCAGTCTGTGGTTTGCCGGACAGGCGCTGGATCCCAGTGCAGGGAGGAGTGTACGAATTCGGCCATCTCATCGCACGTCCATGTCACACGGTCATTCTCGTTCCCATCGAGAATGAAACCGTATTGGAGAAGCAACTGGGCGTTGCTCAGCATTTCGCCATAAGTGTTGAACACTTCGACCCCAGATTCGATGGGGCGATTCGAGATCATCTCTAAACAGTCGTCCTCCCATGTTTCAGATGGAAGGTCCTCTCCTCCATCATGGATGCACTGCCGCAAAGAACCACATTCGGGGCATACCTCGTAGTCACTCTCGAGATGAATGGTGAGCTCCAAGTGGAGGCTGACCAGAGACGGGCGCACCTGCAAGTGGACATGGTTTTCCTGCACGTGGTTGAAACTAAGTAGGTTGTTGGCTTATGATGGGAGCAGAGGACGAACGTGCTCACGCATCAGCTATTGGAACCATGGCAAGCCCATGGTACGCATCGATGAGAAAGGCACGGGACGAGACCAGCCCATATGCAAGGGCGAAGTCTTGACGAGTCAACGTTTCCACGGATGAAGAGCCGAGGACTTTCGAGTACACCCCACGCGCGACAGCTTCAAAAAAAGCGTCGATGTCTTCCTAGACATCGTATGAGTACAGGGATGATGCAAGAAGCAAGAATATTGACCACCAGTGTTGCACCACTCTCATCAGTCTCATTGACCAATCTCCAGGCCTCAGTCCCTTTCAAAAAATCAAGAGCACTGGCACCATCTGCGCCACTTCCAAGCCAAAAGAGAGGCATTCCAGAAAGCGCACGCGGTAGAGATTGCAGATATCCAGCCCATTCCGACGAAGGACCGAGGGCACTGTATTCGTTTCACCCATTCTATCAAGAGCTCCATTATGATCAATGAAAAGGCACAGACAGTTCGACGGACAGAGCCAACGCAAGCCAAAGCTGAGCCGAGCGCCCATGGTGCGTCGAAGCTGACGCGGGGATATGTCGCGAGATGCGACTGGTTTTCAATGAAATAACAGCTTCACGAGGGATCTTGACGACTTTGATACGGATCGATGAGCGGTTCTGCTTGGACTCGGTGCAAACGAGGGCTACCGACGAATGGTGTCCTGAGCGATGGGGCTCTGAGATACTAGATGGATTCCGGACAGGTCTGAAGATACAATCTCAATGCGATGATCAATCCATATCTTGTGGTGGGAGCACCAGCGTCGCAGAGACTCCAGAGATGCGCTCATGGAGATCGAGAAAGTTAGAATCGGTTGAAGGGGCCAATCTCCGCTGAGTCAGACTTCACTGCCACTCAGATTGACCTTCACAGCCACAGGTCACTCCTTGCCTTCTCCATAATCATGCCGCGCGCCGAAGGTCTGTCTGCGCTCCATTTCACGGCCTTTGACTGATCAAGGACGCCAAAATTCTAGTCGGAACCCCCAAATATGTCGCCAACAAGATGAAGTCAAAGGGCCTCCAGCGTCTGCGCTGGTATTGTCAAGTGTGCGAGAAGCAGTGTCGAGACGAGAACGGCTTCAAGTGCCACGCTCAATCCGAATCCCATCTGCGGCAAATGCTCGTCGTCGGAGAGAACGCGGGCCGCCATATCAATAACTACTCGATGGAGTTCCAGTCAGAGTTTGTTAAGCTGCTGTCCCGACGGTGCGTGCCCATTCCTTTGCGTCCTACTTCAAGTGTCTCATCATCCTAAAGATTTGGGACAAAACGTGTACGGGCGAATCAAGTCTACCAGGAGTACATCTCGGATAAGAGCCACACGCACATGAACGCAACGCGCTGGGTCACATTGTCCGAGTTCGTCAAACATCTGGGTCGTGCAGGTATAGCTCGAGTGGACGAGACAGAGAAGGGGTGGTTTATTGCCTGGATTGACAGCAGCCCCAAGGCACTTGCGAAAGCGGTACGCAATCATCTCCCTTTCCGACGAACTTGTGCTCATCTCCCATCAGGAAGCTTCGCTGAAGAAAGACCGGGCTACAACTTCGGATGAGCAACGGGAGCGTATGCTTATTGCTGAACAAATCGAGCGGGCCAACGCCACGAACGAGGCATCCTCTTCGACAGTCGTGACAGAATCGACTACACCACCAGCTGACGAAGGCCTGAAGCGCGAAGAAGGGGCCGAGAAAGTCGTTCTGTCCTTCGCAGCAAAGCCCGTGACGGCGCCTGCTTCCTCTGGACCTGTTGGATTCTCGTTCAAATCCAATCCCCTCAAAACCGCGAACCCTCTCAAAGCGAATCCATTGAAGAAGCCGAACGTCTTCAAGGCATCCAGCGCGGCGATCCCTCCTGAGAGCGAGGCCTCGTCGAACGACAAGAAGAGGCCCGCTTCTGCGATGACTGCTGCTGAGCGGGTGATCCAAGAGGATAAGGAACATCAAGAGAGGAAACGGAGACGAATGGAGGGCGGTTCATGATACTGATAGCACTATCAGTAGTGGTAGTATGCGCGCTGTAATAACATCTGTATCTTACTTGATAGCGTCGAGGCATTGACTATGTTCACATAATATCATGTCATGCAACAAGGAGGCCATAGCTGCTCGTACACATATCGCATGACAGAACTTGTTCCCCGCGTGGCGATCGCGTGTTTTGCACATCGTAAACTACTCTCTTCATTCGGACGGACGATCGATTTACAATTTCCAGCGTGGTGATCAGGCACCGGCTCTCGGTCTCACGGCAATGATGTTTAATGAGCTTGGTATTGATTGTCTCGGGCTACAGTTGTGATGGATGGTACGGGATGGGTGGAAAAAAGCGAAAGCAGGGCGATGTGCAACATGCGCGTCACGCATGAATTTAAGCGACACCCTTGGAGGCTTGGCCAGCGGCCTTGGTGTCCAGGGCAATGTTGTTGTCCAGCTTCTTCCTGCCGTGACCGTCAGCTCCGCAACCTCGAGGTGGGAAGAAACAGAAAGACGTACTGCTCGGCGGCGATCTTGGTCTGGATCGCGGAGGTGCTGCTTCCCGAGGCCTGGGCCTTGGCGAGCTTGATCTTGAGACCCTGGACCTCAGCAGTGAGCTTGAGGACCTTGTTCTTGATCTTTCCGTTCTGGAGAGCAGTGGCTGACGGAATGTCAGCCCACTGCACTGATCAGCGAAAGGAGGTTTACACACCAGCGGCACCGGAAGCAGCCTTGATCGCGGGGTTGAACTGGGCGGTCTCAGCCTTCTCAGCGGCCTGACGCATGGTCTCGATGTTGGCAGCAGCGGCAGAGCTGACGGTGGAGAGGTCAGCGGGCAGGGGGGTCACGAAGATCGCGTCAGCCTGAGCCTTGGCGTTTCCGGCCGTGCCGTCGGAGATCTGGAACTGAGCGTAGCTGCAACGAAAATGAGCTACCCAGCCAGCGCAGCGAAGAAGCGGATATGTACCTCTGGAGGTTGAAGTTGACAGTGCCGGCGGAAGCAGCGAGAGACGCAGCGGTGGCGGCGGGGGCAGCAGTACCGACGGCCTTGGTGGCCTTCGCAGCCTTGGTCTTAGCAGCCTTGGTCTTGGCGGCCTTGGTAGCGGCGGCAGGGGAAGCAGCGGCAGCGGCGGCACCACCAGCGGCAGCAGCCTTGCTGTTACCGGCAACACCCTGGGAGGCCTTTCCGGCGCTGCCCTTGTCGAGGCTGATGTTCTTGGTCAGCTTGGTCCTGCATCGGTGGTCAGCACGTAAATCAAAGATGAGCTTCGAATCGCGACATACTGCTCCTTGGTGAGCTGGCCTTGGAGGCTGGAAGTGCTCTTGCCGGCGGCCTGGGCCTGGGCAAGGTCGATCTTGATCGCGGTGACCTCAGCGGTGAGCTTGAGAACCTTGTTCTTGATCTTTCCAACCTGGAGAGCAGCGGCTGCGAGCACAACAGTCACAATCTGGCACAATCAGATAGATACTTCACTCACCAGTGGCGCCGGATGCGGCAGCGATCGCCGGGTTGAACTGACCGGTCTCAGCGTTCTCAGCAGCGACACGCATGGATTTGATGTTGGCCAAAGACGTAGCATCAACGGTGGTCAGGTCGGCGGGGAGCACATCAACAAAGATGGCGTTGGCCTGAGCCTGAGCGTTACCGCCGACACCGTCGGAGATCTGGAAGCTGTCGTAGCTGGACAAAACATGAGAACTAGGACGATGCAAATATGCAACGTAATAAGGCACCTCTGGAGAGCAAAAGAGAAGCGCTTCGACTTGAGGGGCGCCGAGTTGACAAGTGCAGGCACGAGCAGTGCGAGGAGAGCGAAACGAGCCATCGGGATGATAACTTGTGGTGGATGGGTGAACAAAAACAGTTGCTGGACAGTAAAATGCGGCAAGCCGATGAAAAAAAATGAAAGTGAATTCGCCTTCGAGACGGAGGATGGATGAAAAGAAGGTAGTGGGGTGGGCCAAAGAGATCAAGCTGAGGGAAGCTCTCGAACAACGCGCGCTTTTATATCCGCCCAGCGCCCAGCCCTACTCATCGATCGCCATCACAGGCTTGGCGACATCGGGAGAAAGTTGTGCTGGCCACGTTTTCGCTGTTCGTTCGAGTAGGACAGGATCTGCTAGTCCATCCTCAAACAATTGCTCAGAAAAACATCCCTCTATGTCGACCGCAGCTCTGAGTCGGTCTAGAAAGTTGCAAGATCGCGCTAAAAGGGCGGCGGGGACGCTTGGCGATCGGAGGCTTTTGCGACGTGCGCCGCCCTCGCAACAGCTCTTACAACCGTGACCCCCCATCAGGGGCATGAGCGGTGCTAGACCGACCGACATCGCATGTGGAGAATGAGCCGACTTCCGAATGACGGCCTCATGCCTGGACTGAGCCAGGCGGCGGCAACGCAAGGATTCATCTCCACCAAAGTCCGCCGAGTTTCGTGCGTGGAATAAATCTGTCAGGCTTGGCAAAGTGTGGGAGCCTGTGAGCCAAGCCAAGTTAAAGCTGGGTTGCCAGAGCCGCCATGTGCCGCGACAAACAACGAAATAGTGGAGAGAGACCGGCCCGACGCATCGCTCAGTCCGAGTTTGCATGTTGGCCTCGAGCTATTGGGCAGGCAGTTAACGGGTGGCATATAAAAGTAGAACAACAGAATACAAAATGTACAAACATACGCAGCGTATCTTACACGTCGAACTAGCATTCAAGCCTGAGCTTCAACGTCTCTAGGCACAGCACCGGGTCCGCGCAGAGACAGCCCGCGCAAGAATGCGGGCCGCAATCCACTCAGAATCCCGCCCCCAGTTCCACCATCCTCGGCGCTGGCGACCGGCACTGGAGCCGGCGTAGTTGGCGAGATCGGAACACCGCCATCAGCCGGGGGAGGCGCGGTCGTGATACGCAGCAGCGAGGTGTAAGCTACATCAATCAGGATGGAGCATGTCGGATTAGGAAACTGAAGCTCACGTTGGCGACAAACGGGACAGAACCAGCCCTTGGCTTTACGCTTCCTCCGCGGTGGCACGGTGGTCGTCACTGCAGGCGGAGTCACGACACCTTCAACCGCAGCTTCGGCGTCCGTCGGCGGGGCCGGTGCAGCTCCGGTGGCAGCAGCTGGCTCAGACGGCTCTTCAGCCGGTGCAATGGCACCGCCAGCGCCAAATTCGATCATGTTGACTGCACAGGGACGGCAAGCAACCAAGTGGCGGCAGGGGAGAAGAACGACTTCACGCGGCGCACTCAGGCACAGCAGGCACTCGCGCTCAGGAGGTTCCTCGGCGGTAGCTAGAGCAAGAATATTAAAAGAAATGCACGAAATAGTGACGCTTAGACTCACGTTGAGGAGGATAACTCGGAGCAACTGGAGCTGGAGCTGAGGTTGGCGTGAGCAGTCCATCAAGGTACAGGAGAAAAGGGGAAACTACCTGCTGCACTGCTCAGACCATAGATCTCGTGTAGGTGGAAGGTGTGAGGGCCGATCGTGGCCTCGCGTTTCACTACACGCACAACCCAGGGTCGCGGATCAGCGTCCTTCTCGCCGTCGGCATCTTTGTTCTCGACAGACTCCAGCGCGGGGGCACCGAGACGGCTGACACTGAGATACACCGTGTGTTCGTTCGGAGCGTCAAGCTCTCTGCCCTCGGCGTCAAGCGCCACCAGTCGGATCGTCACATGCACACCCTTCTCATCGGCATCGTCAGCCTCCCCTTCGGCCTTCTTATCCGTGTCAACGATGGTAAGTGCCGCGCCAGCCACGGGGGACGAGGACGACGCGGTGTTCGACCGATTTCGGCGGAATTGGAACGGAGTGAACCGCTTCCGCTCTGGGGCTGGGGCGGGCGTACCGGTAGAGGCCGGGACTGTCGAGGCTGCAGCGGGAGCAGCAGAGGCCTCAGCAGCCAGCGGGACGCGCTCGAACCGTGCCAACTCGATCACGGCCGAATCCGCCGGGCCCAGAGCCCGACCAAACCCGCCGGCGACAACCGCATCGAAGACGGACAGTGATCCACCGTGAGCGGGTGCATCAGGATGGTTGGGAGGGAGATGAACCTGCACGTGCACGCCGCATTGGGCAGCCGCACAGTCGAATACGAATTCGACTAGATGCGGAGCATCTTTCATTGAGACGCCGGGTGTAGGCGTCAGGGGCGAAAGACGCAAGGTGGGCCGGCGGAGATTGACGAGCGCTTGGAGCGTTGTCGTTGCCGTGTTGGGGATCTTACTCTTTTCGATCCAGGCTCGCACGGTGTCAGTCGTCAGCTCATCGGGCTCGACGATGCGCTTCGGTTGGCCTTGAGTCGTCCATGCTGGCCCGGGTTCGATAGGCCCGATGTTGGGTCCAAAGAGGGAGTCGGGAGGCGTCTGCTTCTCTGTCACTGTGGCAGGTGCTCCGCCCAAAGGCGCGAGGGGAACAGGATTGTTCGCCGCTGTGAAACGGGTGAATTGGCCATGTTCTGTGCATCGTGAGCTCAAGCGGCGCTCGACTGGACTGTTCGGTCAACGTACGCCAGGCCATGGTCGTGGTCGAGAACAAGTTGCGGGGCAGTGTCTGCTGACTGTCTCATAACAGACATCACAGCCCGGAAATCATTGTCGGTTAATTATAGATAGCCCGATGTTTTTGGCCCACCAGTGATAACTACGCGCTGACTTGTTGAACCAGTCTCGCCACAGCTTCAAGGAAAATTTTGCATGCCCGTCTGGTCACCGATACATCAAATCCAGGCTTCGACTCATCCTGATTTTCTGAGACAAGTGACAAAGCTGCCCCTCTTCGATTGAGGATGTCAAGTGACCGCTTGACACAACAACCTCCCCCAAGAGCCACGGTCTCTTTCTGTCTTATCTCCACGCGCCAGTGATGGACTGCGGATGATCTGCGGATGATCTCTGGCCGAGAACTACTCTATTTCGGGCACTTCTCAATTGCGTGGCGTGCTGTCTAATCCAAGAACCACTCGTAGTACATTGATTGGAAGTAGGTCTTCTTTGCGCTTCATCTACTGGCCGGCCCAAAGTCAGGCTGCCCCCCAATTGAACCAAATACGTCGCCGACATAGTAGCTCGAAGTTATCCCCGCTGCGAATCGCGATTCCCAGTCTTGGATGATGCCCTCGGTGATCTTCACGCCTGCGATGTAAAGATTACTCGTTGCAAGGCCGAAACCTGGCATGGGTCCAAGTAAGTTGTCGAGACTGCTTTGCCCGTCGTACGGACGGTCAAAGTCTGATGCGGAACGCATGATGATGATCCGACTGAAGTCGACCAGATGGGAACCGGCCCCGCGCAACAACGCACCCAGAGTCGCGTTGTCTTCCTGCTGGGTCGTGCAGTAGACTCCAGATCCGTTGGTGAATGTCTGTAGTGTGTTTTCGACGCCCTCGCTGATGAGACTGCCGCTCCACCACGTGTCAGAAGTCGCCGTGTCGCAAAGGGTAATGCTGGGCGCTTCAGCACCCTTAGCGAACGTCCCTTGAGTTCCATATTGAGACCGGGCCGCCTTAGCCCCATCGGAGTCATTCAGAACGGCGTTGGACGCGTAACGGAAGGCAAATTGCCTCAAATCCTCGTTCACCGCAAAGACTTCTGTTCCATACCATGATTGAGGCAGTTGTCCAGGGGCACTTGCACCCTGTGGGAAGTACCCGACGGGGAAGCTGGCCGGGATCTCCCTCGAGTCCACTTCGTACTGCAGGCCCACTTGCACAGCGAACCGAGCCAATGTCACCGAGCCTATTGTCGCGACTTTGGGATTGATTCCGGCGATCCCGGCGAGGAGGAAATACGTCGTTGCAAGGTCAAAGAGTTGGCAATGAATCAGAGCAGTCATCGTCGAGGCTGCGTTGATCTCTCCTTGCCCGGTCGTCAGCATGCAGACGGAGCTGTCGGCCGTGCAGTGAACAGTCGGATAGATGGGTGAGAAGCCGGACACGGTGATGTTCTGGGCCAGTATATCGAACTCGGGGATGTTGTACCACACTTCGGCTTCACTTTGAAACTGAGAAACGAAAAGGTTATAACAGTCCATTAGAGATCAATCGCAAACATTACGAGGCACGGCACTCACCATCGTCACAATCAAAACTTTTGGCTGTATGAGACTGGATTTCACCAGAGACAACAAGAAAAAGGGAATCAAGTGCGCGAGAAACAGCATCGATGCAGAATTACTTGAGACGAAAGGCCCTCGTCATATATATACTGTAGAAGTCGCCAGTCCAGCACTTCGACCGCAATGTTCGTATCCAACTGTCTTTTAGCAATAAGAGAACTTGAGGACACCGACAGGAAGGCTCGATGCCATAGTCGCATACATCTAGAAGTCCGCGCCGGACCTTGCGCCCTAGATCTGGAAGGATTGTGCCGGTATATCGCAGCAGTTGGCGTTGCGAGTGAGTCAATGCAGTAATCTCATCGAGCTTCTGTAGATCCTTGGTAATATCGCGCCATATCCACGACGGCCAACTGGCAGTGCAAAGTGCATGGAGCGTAAGTACAAGAAGGTGGACGTCATTATCAAGTCTACATCAATGCGTCAACCCACCACGTTACCGCGTTACGAGCGCATCAATTTTAAACACCTCACCCTTATCCGTTCTTCATGGCGGACATCGAGCGCGGTTCGCGCGAGTACAAGTCGTCTTACGAGAACGACCCGGAACACGAGTCTCTTCTTCCTTCGTCCCCATTATCGAACAGCTCGAACAGCAACGTCCAGGCTGTAGGACCCCACTCGTGCTACACGCGGCCCCTTTTTGGGCTCAATCACTTGCTCATCGCATTCGTTACCGGTACACTCGCTTGCTTTCTCACTCAATACGCTATCTGCGGCGCGACCTGCTTCACACACTACGCCCGTGGCAGCTCTCATGCTGCGAGCTCTACGGCAGTTGCACTAGCCTCGCCGTGGGCAGGCTCGACGGAGATCCACGACTTCCCCCCGGCCAAGCCAACGAATGCATATCCCTCCATGTTTCCTACTGACGTTGGATATCCCGGACCGACTCCCACTGGAGCCGAAGCTGCGATCATTGCCACGGCCCCTTCGTACCCGGTGCACAGCGGTGCACCCGTGCTAGTGACGCCAGAGAACCTGACCAGCGCCAAGGGCAAGAGCTACCCCCTTCTCAAGAAATGGGGAAACCTCTCACCGTGGTACAGCAACGAGCGGGGTACTTTTGGGGTCGATTCGGGCCCTGAGGTGCCTGAAACATGCCGAGTGACCGGACTGCACTTCTTGCACAGGCACGGGGCACGATACCCCACTGGTTACGGTGCGTTTCTGTATTTTAAATTCATTTCGCTACTGACTCTCACTCAGCTTCTTATGGCGGCCCTTCGAGCCTTGCGGGTCGGCTTCATGCTACTGCTTCCAACTGGAAGGCTTCCGGCCAGCTCAACTTCTTGAATGATTGGTAGGGTCTTCTTGACTGAAATTCGAGACAAACTAATCGTCTTCCAGGACTTACAAACTTGGGGAAGAAGGTAAACATGACTTCTCCACATCGCGGAGCAACACTTACACGACCTCTCAGTGCTTACACCCTTTGGACGGCAGCAGCTTTGTGAGTGGCCTCTGCTGCCAACGAAACATTTTCTGAGCCGTTCTCCAGATGATCTTGGCATTTCACTGCGACTCAAGTATGGGTTCCTGCTCAAAAACTTCACTGAAACGAATACCATCCCCGTTTTCCGCACGGAGTCACAGTTGGTTCCTGCCCTGTTCTAAATTTACAAGCCTGACAGCCATTCTCAGAGATCGGATGCTGGCTTCTGCCATGAATTTTGCCATTGGGTTCTTTGGTTATCCATTCGAAGGCCAATACCAACAGAGTATCACCATCGAAGCCGGTGGCGTACGTCCGTCCATTACCTCGTTCTTTCTGACTGTGCTTACGGTCTTTCTTAGTTCAACAACACGCTCGCGCCATACAAAACGTATGCATACGAGTGAAAGTCGATTACTTCACTAACATGAATTGTAGTTGCCCTAATGCGAACGACAAGGTCAAGTCAGATCGGGGGCATGACCATGTATCTAACTGGGCCGACGTCTATCTTAAATCCGCTCGGGCGCGTTTGCAAGCCCAGCTGCCTGGATATGATCTTTCCATTGAAGACACATATATCATGCAGCAAATGTGCGCCTATGAGACTGTGGCTCTCGGCTATTCGAAGTTCTGCGAGCTTTTCACAGAGGAGGAATGGGACGGCTTCGATTATTCGTGCGTTGGAAACCCTCATCTCAGTTCTCTCTCCCTCTCATCGTCACATGCCACTTTCTCAGCCTGGACATCTTCTTCTGGTACAACTCAGGTTTCGGTTACCCGCTGGCTCGTGCGTTGGGCGTTGGCTATGTGCAGGAGATGGTCGCGCGACTGACCCATACCCCGATCCCGATTCACAACACTTCAACTAACGGAACTCTGAATGACGACCCCATCACTTTCCCGTTGGACCACAGTCTATACGTCGATGCGACCCATGAAGTGGTTGTACTCCAGATTCTGACGGCACTCAACTTAACGACCTTGGCTGCACAAGGACCTCTCCCGGATGACCACATTCCCACGAACCGCACTTTCAAAGTGTCCCAACTTGCTCCCTTCGCGACTAATGTCCAGTTCCAACGTAGGTTTTGGCGAAAAGGTTGAACGCAGAACTGAGTTCATTCTAGTCTTATCCTGCACTTCCACTCCCGGAGACCAGATCCGAGTCATTGTCAACGACGGGGTCGTTCCGCTGACTGGGATCGAAGGATGTCCTGAGCAGAAGGATGGGATGTGTCCGGTAGATGCCTTTGTCGCTGCCCAGAAGAAGATCATCTCGGAGACAGACTGGGTCTATAACTGCCATGTCGACTGGGATATAGCCGAGGGCTGGGAGACCACCACGGGAGAACCTCCCAGGCCCTAATTTGCAGACCTGAATCTGGTATATGTCATATTCTAGACCATACTTATCTAACATTGTGCATTGCCTGGGAGAAAAGTGGACAGAGAGTGTCAAGCACGGAATCTTCGGATCCAGTTCATTGACGGGACGAGCAGGTGGAGTATGGAAAGTATTGTTTCACAAAAGCTTGAGATTGTTTGAGCCTTCAAATTTTTGAATGAGTATCTAGTGGTGCTTTTGAAAAATCATCTGTTCTGTCTTATTTAGCTGTTGACTAGATATTGCCAGAAGATCTGTGGTGGACATATCAACTACTGGTGGAGTGGGGAACACGTCATAATTGGGAGATGATTGGGGAGCAATTAGTCTGGAGCAATGTGACAATCAACCCAAAAAATGAAGTTGAAAAGAGAAGTGAATTCGAAGACTGGAGAATACAACCAAGTAGCTACAGTATTTATACCCAAGTCCAGTCTGAGTCATATCTACAACTAATGAGTCATAAGGCTATGTACCGCATGGAACACTGGTCATGGGTTGTAATAGAACCTTCCGGAGCATATGTCGCGCAGCCTTGAATCGATAAGGATAATCCCTCGAACCCCTAGCCCGGGCCGGCTGATGCCGTGATCCGTGATAAGATAAACCGTGCCGAGATAAGATAAGATCGTCGAAGATAAGATGAAAAAGTGGCCGAACTATGACATTACCCCCTCTCTAGGGTCGATGTCCTCATCGACTAGGCCAATGGGCGTGAAGACGTTCTCGTAAGGGTCAAAGAGTTGTCGTTGGGGATAGGGGAGGCGCTCATCCCTGGGTTTATAGCGATGAATAAGATAGTCCCAGTGTCCAGCTTCTGTGACAATCAACCCAAAAACAAAGTCGAAAAGAGAAGTGAATTCCAAGACTGGAGAATACAACCAAGTAGCTACAGTATTTATACCCAAGTCCAGTCTGAGTCATATCTACAACTAATGAGTCATAAGGCTATGTACCGCATGGAGCACTGGTCATGGGTTGCAGTAGAACCTTCTGGAGCATGTGTCGCGCAGCCTTGGATCGATGAAGATAATCCCTAGGACCCCTAGCCCGGACCGTCTGATGCCGTGATCCGTGATAAGATAAGTCGTGCCAAGATAAGATAAGATCGTCGATGATAAGATGAAAAAGTGGCCGAACTATGACATTACCCCCTCTCTAGGGTCGATGTCCTCATCGACTAGGTCAATGGGTGTGAAGACGTTCTCGTAAGGGTCGAAGAGTTGTCGTTGCGGGTATGGAAGGCGCTCATCTCTGGGTTTGTAGCGATGAATAAGATAGTCCCAATGTCCGGCTTCGAGCGTTGGCAGGAGGCGAATGCGTGTGTCTGGGTTTGATTGTTTCCTCTGCCAGTCTCTCAGGACGTCCTTCGCGTGGGTAAGGTGGCGTGATGGTTCCCAGGTGTTCTCGCTGTGCGGCCATCCCTTCCATTTGACCAAGTACTGTTTTCCTCGGCCGATTTTTCGTTCTTTCACGATTTCTTCGACTTCCCACTCCTCTGCTCCTCCGATCATCTTGGCTACGGGTCTCTTCTCTCGGCGATGGGGGGGTGGTTCATGATAAGGTGTCAATAGTGACTCGTTGAACACCGGGTGTCTTCGGTCCGTGTCCGGCAAATCCAGCTTCCATGCGGCCGCTCCAACCTTCTCCAGTATCTCGTATGGTCCCAATCTCTTGTCGCTCATCTTCTTTGATGGTCTATCCGTCTCGATATTTTCCCCTTCTATGTACACCTTCATCCCAACCTTCAACTCCGGAACTTCTTTTCTTTGTTTATCGTAGTATTTTTTCATTTTTTCTTTTGCTTTTTCCAATGCTGCTTTTGCTTCGTCTTGTATTTCTTTCATTCTTTTTACAAATTCCTCCGCCGACTCGTTCCTTGACTCCATCCGTTGCTCCACTCCCTTCCACGGGTGATATCCGTGATTCGCATAGAATGGCGATATTTTGGTAGACGTGTTCATCTTGTCGTTATATGCGAACTCCGCCATTCCCAGCCACTCCGACCAGTCCGTCTGATGGTAATTGACGTAGATGCGGAGATAATGCTCGATCTCCTGATTCATGCGTTCTGTCTGCCCATCCGTGATCGGGTGATATGCGGTCCCCGGGTTCATTTCTATGCCCAACATCCGATTCGTCTCCCTCATGAAGCCCTTGATGTAGCGCGAATCCCTGTTGGTGATGATCTTGCGAGGGATCCCGTGGTAGCGGAAGACTCGGTCCCTGGTTAATCGTGCCACTCCTTCGCTGCTGATGTCAGTACTAATTGGTTCGACATGGATCATTTTGGTGAAGGTGTCACACCACACATGAATTGCGTCATACCCGTTACTGACCGGCAAGGGTCCGATCTGATCCATGGAGATGATTTCCCACGGCGCGTTTGGGACTGCATGCGGGTGTAGACTCCCTGTCCTTGCTCTCCTGGTCTTGGTCCGCTGGCACGCCTCGCACGTCTGGATGTATTTCCGAATTTGGTTTCCCATCCTTGGCCACCAGTAATTCCTTTCCACCATCTCC